GCTGAACTCATTTATTAACTCTAATGTGTTTTGTTGTTAATCCTCACCTGAGGATATTTTTTCCATCGATTTTTAGAGAGTGGAAGGGATGGAGGGAAGGAGGGGAGAGACAGAGAGACTTGACCGGGAATCAAACAGGCAACACTTTCAGTGCATGGCCCTATGTTCTCACCACGAAGCCACACTGGCTAAGGCTTAATTATAATAGTTGTTTTAGTGGATTCCTTAGGATTTTATAGATACAATATCATGTTATCTGTAAACAGAGATCTTTTTTTTCCTTTTCAATCTGGATGCCTCTTATTTTCTTTTCTTACCTAATTGCCCTGCTGGAACCTCAGTACCATGTTGAATAAAAGTGAGGAGAGTGGGTATCCTTGTCTTGTTTCTGATCTTAGGGTGAAGGCTTTTAGTCTTTCACCATTGATTATAATGTTAGCTATGGTTTGTATTTTTTTGTATGTTTTGTGTTTTTTATTTTAGAGACAGAGGAAGGGAGAGAGAGAGAAACATCGATGTAAGAGAAGCATTGACCAGTTGCCTCCTGTATGTACCCCAACTAGGGATTGAACCCACAACCTGGGTATGTGCCTGACCTGGAATCGAACCCACGTCATTTTGGTGTACGGGAAAACACTCCAACAAGTGAACCAGCTGGGCTAGCTGTGGTTTCTGTAGTTGCTCTTTATCAGGTTGAGAAGGTTCCCTTCAATTTCTAGATTGTTGAGTATTTTTATCACAAAGGGGTGTTGGAATTTCCTCAGATGTTTTTCTGTTTCTATTGAGATGATCGATAGACCACACTGAGATGTGTTTTCCGCCCTTTTCCTATTGATAGGGTATATTTGGGTATATTATTTTAATTGAATTTTGGATATTAACCCAAGCTTGCACTCCTGGAACAAATCCCATTTTGTCATGGTGTATTGTTCTCTCTATGTTGTTTACTGGTGTCTTTTAGATTTTATATCTATATTCATAAGAGATGTTATCTGTAGTTTTCTTGTGATGTTTTGTCTGGTTGAAGTAGCAGGTTAACACTTGCCTCATAGGATGAATTCAGGAGTGTTTCCTCCTCTCTCTCTTTTTTTAGAAGTTAGTGAAGAACTGGTATCACTTCTTTTTCAAATGAATTGATAAGTGAAGCCATTTGGGCCTGGGTTTTTCTTTGTGACTTTTTTTTACTATTAACTCAATTTATTTTTTAAAAAAAGATATTTTTATTGATTTCAGAGAGGAAGGGAGAGGGAAAGAGAGAGAGAGAAACATCAATGATGAGAGAGAATCATGGAAAACACCAATCCGCTGCCTCCTGCATGCCCTACACTGGGGATCAAGCCCACAACTCGGGCATGTGACCTGACTGGGAATCAAACCGTGACCTCCTGGTTCATAGGTAGACGCCCAACCACTGAGCCACACCTGCTGGGTTCAATTTCTTTATAAACTTTTGTCTACTAGAAATTATAAAATATCATTTGATTTTCCAGTAAGGCATTAAATTTTTTTGAAAGAGTATGAGTTTTGGAGACAGACCACCAGACAGATCTAGGTTTGGGTTCCATCTCTGGAGCTGCAGCTTGGGGGCAGGTTTCTTCACCCCTCTGAATCTCAGTGTCCTCACCTGCAAATTAAAGGGGACGGTAGTACCTTGTAAGGTTGAAAGGACCCAGGTCAGGCATGCGGAGGGTTCAGAGCTGGGCTCTAGCCACCAGGCTCTGGGCTGCTTTTTTGGATGCACAGCCTCTTTCTCTCCCTGCATTTTTGCATTAGGGTGCTGTGCCGTTCCTGGTCAGTGCCACCTCTGGGACTACTGTTCTGGGGGCCTTTGATCCCCTGGAAGCAATTGCTGACGTGTGCCAGCGTCGTGGACTGTGGCTGCACGTGGACGTGAGTAGGACTTGGGCCTGAGGGTGGGGTGGGCTGAGCTGAGGCCAAGCCCGTGCTGTTCCTTCTGCTACACAGGCCGCCTGGGGTGGAAGCGTCCTGCTGTCACAGACACATAGACATCTCCTGGATGGGATCCAGAGGTGCCTACAGCCCCTGTTCCCTGCATCCCACTTTTCAAATGCTTGATCCATAGAATAGTCATGGTCAGGGAGCTTTCAATGGCAGTGGGCAAGGAGGTTGGTGGGAGGGGTTTGGCGAGATGGCTGCCTGGGGCTGGAGTTCAGGTGGCAGACATACCAGTTCTCCCTGGCTGCTGGGCGGGGGTGAGGCTGAAGCTCCTTTTACTGAGGTCTGGAGAGCGAAGGCAGCTTGGCTGGGCAGCGTGAGGAAGAGCCAGCTCACCCAGCTTTGCTGTGCCCACCCCAGGGCTGACTCCGTGGCCTGGAACCCGCACAAGCTCCTCACAGCAGGCCTGCAGTGCTCAGCTCTCCTTCTCCGTGACACTACGGTGAGCCTTCCCCAGCCCTGGCCTGGTCCCTGCTCTCACCTTAGACCTTGTCCTCTTTTCTATCCAACCTTAGAGGGGTCCTGGCCTTGCTGTGTCCTACTTACCATCCCATCTGAAGCTGCATATCTGTGGCCACCCTAACTCCCTGTAGTGGATTCTCACTCCCCCGTGGCTTGTCTTCAGGCAAAGGAAAAGCTTCCAGTTTGAAGTTGCAATTGAAGGGATCCTGGGTTGAGTTTGGGAAGAACTCTGGGTGTTAGGAGAAAACCCAGGGAAAGGGGTCTGAGTCAACTGGCAGCTATCCCATCAGTGCCGCCTGGTCCAGGGAAAGGAATGGGTAGACTGAGCTAAGAAAGCGCTAGAGGAAACCTGGGTGGGGAGCGTGGGGTCTGACAGTCTCTCAACCCACCCACAGAACCTGCTCAAGCGCTGCCACGGGTCCCAGGCCAGCTATCTCTTCCAGCAGGACAAGTTCTACGATGTGGCCCTGGACACGGGAGACAAGGTGGTGCAGTGTGGCCGCCGGGTGGACTGTCTGAAGTTGTGGCTCATGTGGAAGGCACAGGGCGGGCAAGGGCTGGAGCAGCGTGTCAACCAGGCCTTTGCCCTTGCCCGGTAGGAGTGGTGGGTGGTTCCAGGTCTCCTCCCCAGGTCCCTTCCCCAAAGCCTTTGGCTGCTGTCAGTGCCTCTCCAGTCATTTTCTGGGTCTTTTGTTTTCTTCCCCCTCCTCCTGTGATTGCTCACTCCGTTTGAAGATACCTGGCGGAGGAGATGAAGAAGCGGGAAGGATTTGAGTTGGTCATGGAGGTATGGCCTCCCCCAGTGATGGCGAACCTGTGACACGCGTGTCAGAGGTGACACGCGAACTCATTTTTTGGTTGATTTTTCTTTGTTAAATGGCATTTAAATATATAAAGTAAATATCAAAAATATGTCTTAGTTTTACTATGGTTGCAAATATCAAAAAATTTCTATATGTGACACGGCACCAGAGTTAAGTTAGGGTTTTTCAAAATGCTGATTCGCTGAGCTCAAAAGGTTCGCCATCACTGTTCTCTTTGTTCCTATGTCCTCGTAGTCTGTCCTACACGCAAAGCCCTGCTGGACGCAGAGGAGCAGTGAGAGGGGACACTTTCTCAGCTCACACCTTTCTCTTCCTCATTCCTTCCAGCCAGAGTTTGTCAATGTGTGTTTCTGGTTTGTGCCTCCCAGCCTGCGCGGCAAGCAGGAGAGTCTGGATTACAGTGAAAGGCTGGCTAAGGTAGGCTTTCTCCTCCCTGGCGCTCTGGTTAACCTAGTTGAGCAAATGGATGCAGCTGGTGTGTTTCTGCCCCCTGCTGGCTGTGGGAGGCATGGCAGGTCCCTTGGCTGGTTTCCTGCTCCTGAGCTGAGGACTGAACTGGAAAACACCAACTTGTCCTCATTTCTCAGGGACATGGATGGAGAATCGGGAATGTTTCTGGGAAGTAAGCAGAAGATAGAGAGGGCATTACAGATAAGTCGCCAGTATACAGAGACCCCTGTGCGGGGAGTTGTACTGGGAGCTCAGGTCCGGGACAGAGAACTTTACTCACTGATACTGGGGAAAAACAACCAGTAAGGCCAGTCCGGACCTGCCTCTTGGAGCTGAGAAGATATGTCCTACCTCCCTCTGATAGGTTGGTGGTAGGTGCTGCAGATGACCTGAAAGGACAAGATTGTTCTTGCCCTTAAGGAATAATATTAGGAAAATAAGAGTTACCTATTTGAAACCAGAATGTTCACGGAAATCCTGTAAATATGCATGTTAGGTCTCAGAGTACAGAGCAAAAATATTACAGGAATTCAGAGAGGGGAGAAGGTGTTAAGGATGACAGAGGCTTGAAGTTAGACTAGCACAGTGTTGGGAGTCAGGGAAAAGTTGGGATTTGACAGAAAATGTGACAACCTGGAGATAAGCGAGATAAGGAATAGAGCAGACGGTAGAGAAGGACAAGCAGGTCGGACATGGTGGAAAAGGTAAACTGGGGCCGAGGTCAGGATCCCAGCAGTGAGCTGCCTCCGGAAGGTGGCTGGGGCGGAGGGAAATGCACCTTGGGTACCTCACTGGCCAGGAAGTTACCTGGCCCCGCCCTCACCTGACCCCAGGCTGCAGCTAGACACTCTCTGTATCCTTCCACAGGTGGCCCCAGCACTCAAGGAGCGCATGGTGAAGGAGGGCTCCATGATGATCGGCTACCAGCCCCATGGGACCCGGGGCAATTTTTTCCGCTTGATCGTGGCCAACCCCGCGCTGACCCAGGCCGACATGGACTTCCTCCTCGACGAGCTGGAACGGCTAGGCCAGGACCTCTGAGTCCTCCTTTCACTGCTGGCCTTGACCCTCCTTCCTCCCCTCTGGCTCTGCATATCCCCTCCCCGTGTTCCCAGACCAATCTTTTTAGGAAACAGAGAGGCTGTAATAATGTTTCTATCCTTTGACCTACTAACTCTCCTCTTAAATATGTGATATTAGGAGAATGTTTAATAAACTACAGTATATTCTTATGATGGAATGTTAGGCTGCCTTTAGAATTATGTTTACAAAAAGGGTGTTTACTGATATGAGAAAAATAATTTTAATATAATGTTGAAAAATCTGGATATAGTACTTTATATATTATAATATCTGAGCTATATTAAAACATACATAGAAAAAGACTGATGAAATATGCCAAAACGTTAATAGTTTTACCGCAAATGGTATTACAGGCACTTTAGAAATTAACTTCTTACTCTGGCCGGTGTGACTTGGTTGGGCATTGTCCCATGCACCAAAAGGTTACCGGTTTGATTTCTGGTAGGGGGTGTGCAGGAGGCAGCTGATCGATGCTATGCTCTCACATGAATGTTTCTCTCTCCCTCACTAAAAAGTAAAAATAAATTTAACTTTTTTATGCCTTTTGTGCTCCCTCCTTTTATCATAAAATGAATATGCATTACTCTTACAATAGAAAAATAATAAAGTTAAAATTTTAACTATATTATTTTGGTGTGATTAGGAGTTTGTTACCTTTCAAGCAAGTAATGGAGAATACAAATTACATTTTTTTTAAAGGCAGTGAAAGATCCCAAAAATCTTTAGTGGGAGGGGAAAAACCAAAAGTGGAGGCACTCTAAAATTAATTGTACTTTAGTGACATTTAAACAAAATGGGCACTGACGGTATCTTGAGACCAGAGCCTTATCCACTTACACTTAAAAATTCTCACCAGCTTGGCTGGTGTAGCTCAGTAGTTGAGTATCGACCTATGAACCAGGAGGTCATGATTGGATTCCCGATCAAGGCACATACCTGGGTTGTGGGTTTGATCCCCAGGCAGCCAGTCCATGATTCTCATCATTGATGTTTTTATCTCTGAAATCAATACAAATATATTTAAAAAAAATCCTTGCCAACAAAAAAAGAAAAAATTTTCTTCTGTAATTTAAACAGAAATAAAAAAGAAAAACACACCCCAGAAAACCAAGTTAAAAGACGGCAACCAAACCACTGTTACGTCTCCTGTTACTGCTACTGTCTTACGTAAAAACATCCATTTTACAATTACAGTTCCGGCTGGTGTTGCTCAGTCACTTTTTGGGGAAGGCGTTCAGTTACACGAGTTACTAAGGACAAGTGGCAAGTCTACCAGAACTTTCTGTTATTTCCAATTCCTAAAAATACCTTTTATGAAAACAATAACATGGTCATGTAAAAGGCATCCAAAGTTATTTTCAAAGGCAAATAGAAACTGTCCAAACCATAGCAAAAGAACATCCGAATCGCAGGCCCAATTCTCTTGACCATTTTGGGGGGGTAGGAGAACATTTCTATTAATAAATTAATAATTCCCCTATAAACTTGTTATTGTTACAAATGGTATTTTAATATCTTCCAAGTAATAAAATCATTTTGAGAGTATTAATAATTTGAACTCCAAGCTCTAATCTTAGAGGTCTATAGTCCTAGCCGGTTTGGCTCAGTGGATAGAGCGTTGGCCTGTGGACCAAAGGGTCCCGGGTTCGATTCTGGTCAAGGACACGTACCTCGGTTGCAGGCTTCTCCCAGCCTGGGCCCTGGTCAGTACTGGAGCCAACCAATCGATGTGTTTCTCTCACATTGATGTTTCTGTCTTTCCCTCTCTCTTCCACTCTCTCTAATATCAATGGGAAAATATTCTCGGGTGAGGATTAAAAAAATAAAGAGGTCTATATATCTACAAAATGTCTTAAATATAGTGTTTTTAAAAAACTAAAAAACAAACTAAAAAAATCATTATTTTCAACTCAAAGCAAAGCCAGAAAGCAAAAATAAAAACAAAGTCTTCAAAATTTCTTGAATCATCTCCATTTGAGAAATATTTTTAAGAGAAGGAAGACCGGAAAGACAGGACATAAAGTCAGCTAGTCAGCTATTTTTCTCCAGCTTTATAAAACTGATGCTTCTTTTTCTCTCCCCAAAACTCAACCTCAGAATCTATGACTGTGATGTTACAGCCCCTCTTTGCTTCCTGTCTCCCGTGGGCATTTACTGAGCTCCTGCTCTGTGTAGCTCTTTCCTCTGCCTCCAAAGAGCTTAAGACTTAAGCAGTCATCCCTCAACCGAGGCCCGTCCCTGCGCGAGGGCCTTGCACCTGTCGTCCCTGCCCCTTTGCCTCGGCGTTCGCTCATCTACATGGCTTGCTCCCTCTTTGCCTTTAGGTTTTTGTTCTGACATCACATCCGTAATGAAACCTCCCCTGAATATTCTACTTAAAATTACATTTCACCCTCTATTTTTGCACTTCCTAATTCCCTTACCTGTCCTGTTTTTCTCCACGGCATGGATAAGCATCTGGCATTCTCTATATTTCAGTTATTTTCTGTCTCACCCAACTAAAATGTAAGCTCTGGGAGCAGAGATTTGGTATCACTGCCTCCTAAAATGGAGTCTAGTGCTTAACTGGCGGGTAACGTTGAGTGAATGCTTAATGAATGCAGGTACTGTTGACTTGCTCTCACACAACTTTAAAGTGGTGGGGTCAAAGGCGAGCTCAGACTCTCTTCCTCTGGCTCTTACCCAGCTGTGGGCAAACAACGGCCCGCGGGCTGAATCCGGCCCGTTTGAAATGAATAAAACTAAAAAAAAAAAAAAAAAGACCGTACTCTTTAATGATGTTTACTTTGAATTTATATTGTTCACACAAACACTCCATCCATGCTTTTGTTCCGGCCCTCCGGTCCAGTTTAAGAACCCATTGTGGCCCTCGAGTCAAAAAGTTTGCCCACCCCTGCGTCTTACCCATGACCTAGCCTGCTTCTTTGACAGATGTATCTCATTCATTGGTGTGAGTGTTAGGGACATTTTACTAATCATAAGCTGTGGATTTACTGCTTACGGGAAGGATGAAGCGGCTTTACCCACCCATCTTGCCCTTGGCCGGGGGAAACTGTGTCTCCATCACACAGGAAACAAGGCCATTGGGAGCACCTGGGCTGGTTGCAATGTTGGAGTGGTGTTGTGTGTGTGTTATTTATTTATTTTTTTAAAAGCAGTCAAAGTGTTCAAGAGGCTAGCCTTCCCGCCTGTCTGACAGGAAAGACGGTGCCTTCGTAGGGAAGTAGGCCAGCAGGTAGGAAGTGAAAAGCTGGGTGGGGCACCTGTGCCGGGGCAGCTCTCAGAAAGTGGATGAAAGGGAGCAGGCAACAGCAAAGTCCGAATTAGACTGGATACTTGCTCTTGTGTACGCTAGGTCCTCATTTGGCTATTTCTCTTCTGTTTAGGTACCTTAAAAAAAATCTTTTTATTTAGAAATCTATAAAAAATTGCAAGAATAGTTGCAGAGAACTTCCATACTCTTTATGTAAATTGATAGGTTTTTCACATTTTGACAAACTTTATCGTGATATTTGTGCTATAATTTATTTTTTTCTGAACCATTTGAGTCGATTGCATACATTATGCCCCTTTATTTCTTAATGTTCTAGTGTGTATTACCTAAGAACCAGAATATTATCTTAAATAACAACAGCACAATGGCCAAATTCAGGAAATTAACATAGACACTATACTTTTAAAAATATATATTTTATTGATTTTTTACAGAGAGGAAGGGAGCAGGATAGAGAATTAGAAACATCAATGAGAAAGAAACAGTCATCAGTCACTTCCTGCACCCTCCCTACTGGGTATGTGCCTGCAACCAAGGTACATGCCCTGGACCAGAATTGAACCCAGACCCCTGAGTCCACAAGCTGATGCTCCATCCACCAAGCCAAACCGGCCAGGGCTAGACACTACACTTTAAAGTCCATACCCTAAAATTGGTCAACTGTCTCAATAATGCCCTTTGTGGCATTTCCCCCTTCAGTTCCAGATCCCAGCTCAGGACCATGTATTGCATTTTGTTGCCATGTCTTGTTGTCTCCTTTAATTAAAATAATTTCTCAGCTATTCTTTGTCATTAGTGGTATTGACACTTAAAAAAAATACAGGTCAGTTATTTCATAGAATGTTCATCAATTTGCTTTTTCCTGATGTTTCCTCATGACTAGATTCAAGAGGTGCATTCTGAGCTGTAATCTGACATGAATCATGTTTGCCCTTTTCAGAGAAGCACATAGAAGGTCCACGGTGTCCATCTGCTCCTTATTGGTGATGTAATTTTGATGAAGGTCAATATTGGTCAAGATGTCTGGTTTCCCCTCAATATAGTTACTATTTCGCCCTTTGCAACTAATAAACAATCTGTGAGGAGACATTTTGAGATTATGCAAATATCCTGCTCCTCTTCATACTATCCCCACCTAGATATAGTGTCCACTCATGATTCCGGCCCACGCCAGCTGTTATCATAATGGTTCCTAAGTGGCAATTGTCTAACTCCACTGATCCCTCCACTTTTATTATTTGGCATTTGGCTATAAAGAAGAGCCCTCCCTTCTCCTTATTCATTCACTCTTCCATTGATTATAGATATGTTTTATTCAAAAAGTTATAATACATTTCTATCTTTACTTATTTTAATGCTCAAATTGTTCTAGTTTTGACCATAGGAAGCCCCTTTAATCTGGCTCCCATCCATGTCCTTTTGACATGACTTTAAAAAGAATTTTTAAAAATATATATTTTTATTGATTTCAGAGAAGAAGGGAGAGGGAGAGAGAGAAATATCGATGAGAGAGAATCATTGATTGGCTGCCTCCTGCATATCCCCTATGGGGGATCAAGCCTGCAATCCAGGCATGTGCCCTAACTGGGATCGAACCGTGACTTCCAGGTTCATGGGTCAACCACTGGGCTAAAAAAACAAAAAACAAAAAACTTTAATCACTGCCTTTCTTCCTGGCACAACAAAAATACACCAGGACACTCCACCACTGGCCACGCTGGCGGGCTAACCAGAAATCTTTTGGTGTAAGTGGCAACACTCCAATCAACTGAGTCATCCGGCCAGGGCAGTACAGACCTCTCTCCAGACGTTTGGCTATGATGGGAAGCTGAGAAGTGGGACAGCTTGATGAAGATGTGGGGTGAAGAGAGGTAAAGTTAAAGGGGGACACACTAGAGAAGCATACCAAGTGCTGATGGGAGCGATTTGGTAGGGAGGCAATAGGAGGGGGTGGGGGTGGCTATTAAAGGG